TTGATGCATCCACGACTAGCGCGAAACTCAGCCTGCTCCTCACGCGTAGTGTACAATCGGCGGAGAATGACGGACGCCAACAGCTATCGGGATTAGGNATCGATTCCCCCCCACGAGGAGGGGACTTGCTCAGTGTTCCACACTTTACAGAACAGTACTTGTAGTTCTCTAACAAGCTTTGTTCCACCATCTTTAAATAGAGCAGGGTGAAGTCCATCCCATTCGGTATTTCACGGGATGCAACAGTGATAACAAGTTGAAAATGTCCAGCAATTCGGCTGCTTGTCTGAAATTTCTCTCTCGATGAGTTATCTGTTTTATATTCTGCTTTTGAAAGACTTCACTTTGAACAGTTTACTCCCCTTTCGTTTTAGCGATAGAATGGCGAAACATTCAACGGAGGTTGGTATTATCTTAGCATCTCGCTGATTCCGTGTCTTTTAGTTATTTCCTTCCGAAGACTATATTTCTGATTACGAATCGGAAACGAGCAGCCATGCTGATGCTCGTAGTGTGATCAGGTTAGCTGTGATGCATTGACGCCTGGTTTTACACGAAATGCCCCCTCCTCCCTTTCCCATGATGCGGCGTATTGAGATAGTGCGAACGATTTACATCCCCCCGATGATCCCGACCTCGGGTCAAGTGGCAAACCGCGATTTCCTGCCTACGGGAATGCAAAATTGGCATGGGATTCGGAACAGCGAAGGTTGGTTTAACTGTTCATTCATTCATGTGAATTGTTCACTGTTTCTTGTTCAGAACGCACAATCTCGCCGTTCGCCACCAGTTGCTCAGTATGGATGCTGTATCCTTTTCGATTTCTGACTAGTGCTACCGTTTTCTCCTCCTCTTCCTCACATTCCATTGACTTCGCTTTGTTTTCTTGCCATATTGAAATATTGCTGATTTCTTAACCCCACTGACCACAGTACGACCGACATCGGAAACTTGTAAATGATTATTTGCAATTCTATGGTGGTTCATGGAAGGATTTCGAACCGGATCGGTAAGTTCTGTTCCTCATTTTTCAACCATGATCTGAACGTTTCACTCGTTTACCTCACGATCTGTCATTGTCTTTTACCCTACGAATTGCTGTATCTTCCCAGGTCTGCCGAGAAGCGTGATATTGACGTGATTCGAGAACACGGACGCTTCCTGTGGTCGGAAAAAGACGAACCGGCTTCTTGGTAAGTGAATAAACAAATACAACTGACTCCCTCATTCATGTACCAAAATCCTTGAGGATATGAACGCTTTGGGTGTTATAATTTTTCTTATCTAGAAAGTTATTTTAAGTCTGCAATACGCATATTTCATGACTAGTATCTAAATGGTGCTATAAAATTTTCCTGAAAGCGCACTACCGGTTTCGCAGTTGTTGCAGCTCACCAGTAATCCGTATTCTGGAATCTTTTGTTGGGTTACATATATATATATATATATATATGACGGTTTTGTAAACAGCGCTGCTGATTGTTGTTTTGTAGCTCGGGTAGTACAACTTGGTGTTCGGTTGCTCGCTATTTTCCAGGCTTCTGGGTGGTTGACAAGTGTTCGATAACTCGATGGGAGGACGTTGTTTCGTAAGCACTCGTGTAGAAAATATAGCTGCTCGCGAGTTGAAGCTTGACGATAGGCGAAAACTTCCCGTCGACGAGCGGCTTTGAGCGTTGAACGCCCGAAAAGAGATGACAGTTGATTGTTGTTTTTGTATCTCGGGTGGTATAACTTGGTGTTCAGTTGTTCGGACAATAACTCAAACACAATAACATACAAGGACAGATGGACAATCGAACAACCCTACGATATGTGAAGAACATCTCTGAAATGACCACGAGAATACTGAAGCCGTACAAAATTCAAGTTGCCCACAAACCAACGACGACCCTACGGAGAATCTTATCGCAAACTAAGAAGCAAAAAGAAGATAAAAATCGAACAAATGTGATCCGCATCAATTGCAAGGACTGCAGCAAACACTATATCGGTCAACCGGGGGAGAAAACTAGCAACTCGCGTGCACGAACACAAACTGAGCATCAAAAGACATGATGCACTCACTAATCTCAATTCACGAGGACCAAAAAGGACACAACTTTGATTTTGAAAACACCAAAGTCGTCCATCAGGCCGCACCAAGCACGCAAGGGAATTTCTGGAAGCTTTGAATTCATCGGAAAACTCGGTCAACCGACACATTGAAATCGATCAAGTTCACATCCCCATGCAACAAAGGACCAATCAGCGCAAAGAAGGTGGGTCGTGTCACACGTCACAACAGGACAACAGTAACAATTGGGTCGGTCGATCAACAACCA